CCCCCCCCTACCCTCCTCTCTCTCTCTCTCTCGGCCCTTTTAGTGTGCAACTTCTCTCTCTCTCGCCCTTTTAGTGTGCAACTTGATGTGTACTCTATATTTCTTTGGTTGTGCGAAAGTTTCAGACCTGCCAATCTCTCTTTGTCCTCCCTCCCCTCCCCCCCCCCCCTACCCTACCCTACCCTACCCTATTTTCTCTCTCCATAGAGTGGAATTTGATTAATACTCCTTTATGTCTTATGGTTACACACCAATACAGGGGTGATGCCTACTACTCCTTGTTTTCAATTATACTCTCTCTATTATTTGATGTATGCTGCTTTTTCTTTTTGATTTCCTGTGGTTTTTTGCTCATTGGAAGATATGACAATAGGTTTGGGACCTACGGAGGGGTGAGGTCACCATGAATCTCCAGGGGCATTCAGATATGATAACAGGGATGCAGTTGAGCCCTGATGGTTCTTATCTTCTCACCAATGCCATGGATTGCTCTCTCAGGATATGGGATATGAGGCCATATGCTCCTCAAAATAGGTACGTGATTTTTTTTCTGTTGATATTTTGGTGAATATCTATGTAGTTTAAATTTCCATACTTCTTATCAGGGAAAGTAATGCCATAATCAAATGTACATGGTATATGCCTAAAAAATTGTGCCATAATATATTCAGTCATTGGTGTGTCTAATGCAATAATGGATGATGGTGGAGAGAGGGTTGTAAGCATCAGAGCATGACATGACCCCAATGGTTGGTCTCAAGCTCTCTCCACCAATGTGCATGATTTCATCGGATGGTGATGGCTCTGTGGATTATAATATCATCATCATCATCTGAGCCTTATCCTAACTATTTGGGGACAGCTACATAAATCATGTTCCGCTATGATGTGCATATAAGTCGGGATTCATGAAAAGATGTGGTAAAGTTTTATACTGGTTGGCCTACCTAACACAACCCTCGTCCTTTATTCAGGCTTGGGACCGGCCAAGGCAAAGTTCTCTATGGATTATAAATATATAGTAGCCTATTGCAATATGGCATAACCCCCTGTATAAGAAATATTGTCCATATATATTCCAACGACCTCATTATATGACGTGTTGTACACCCTTCAAAATAGGTGAGCAGACTTACATCTTCGTATGATAGCATAGTCACTTATGTCTCCATTTTTATATGGTTTCTTGATAGATCATTATCTTAATATCATTTTTAAATCCATGATATTTGCATTAGATTCTCGAAGATATGGGGAATGTCACTATAATAATGCAACTGCATATTAATTGTTTATTTTTTATTTTTTTCTTTTGAAAATGTTTATCTTGAAAGATTTTTATAAGTTTACTTGTCTTCATGGTTAGGGCACTTGGAGCCACGTGCTGTCCAAGCTTTTGATCATAACTAACCTACATCAATCAAAATGAGAAAGTTATTCAAAAAAAAGAAAAAGAAAAGCAAAGAAATGAAAGACCAACACCCAGGCTACCTACTGAAAACATTGCTTACCAGACAAATGAGAGTATTAGTTTATAAATAGTGTAACTTATGGAGATTTTAAAGCATTTGCTATTGTGTACTTTCTTCAACTCTTCATAGCTTAACTGATAGGCACTTAGACTTGCCTGCGTTGGTGGCTTGGAAAATGACCTACCCAAGTTATTTATCCAGAAAAGGAAAAAAAGAAAAGAAAAGAGCACCACCTTGTAATGATTCTTTGATATGAAAAAGCAGGTGTGTGAAGATATTCTCTGGGCACCAACACAACTTTGAGAAGAACTTGCTGAAATGTGGTTGGGCTCCAGATGGGAGCAAGGTCACAGCAGGGAGCTCAGATTACATGGTGTATATATGGGACACCACTTCACGACGCATAGTGTACAAACTCCCCGGCCACAATGGTTCAGTCAATGAATGTGTTTTCCACCCGACTGAGCCAGTCATTGGTTCTTGTGGTAGTGATAAGAAGATATATTTGGGCGAGATTGAGCCAGGTCCTTCGTATCAGCCACCCAAGTAAGTGTTTGTGAAAAAAGGCACGGAAAGAACCTTATAGTGAGTTGGTCTCCCTTGTTTGTTAGGGCTGATTCCATTTCATTGCGGATGGAAATTTTGTTTCCTATCTTAAAGGCTCATAGGAATGCAAAGTTTGTTTGGCTTGCATCTCTCTCTCCCCTGTTTGTCATAGATGATCCCTTTCGATTGCAGATGGAAATTTTGTTTCCTATCTCGAGGTTCATATAGTGCAAAGTTTGTATGGCTTGCATCTCTTTCCCGCCCCATCCCCACACACATCTAATCCAACTCCCCCTTCCCCTCCCCCTCCCCCTCCCCCTCCCCGCTTCTCTCTTCTTGTTTGTTAGAGATGATTCCATTTCATAGTGGATGGAAATATTGTTTCTCCTTCTCTCTTCTTGTTTGTTAGAGATGATTCCATTTCATAGTGGATGGAAATATTGTTTCCTATATTGATGTTCATGTGAGTGTAAAGTGTGTTTTGCATCTCTCACTCTCTGGAATAAGTTATTCCATTCACTCTCAGTATTGGAGTGGCCCAAAAATGGGTAACTGGGGCATCAGACTGCCTAGAGAAAAAGGATGATTGTAACATTGGATTGGGGCAAAACAGGAATAAAAAATCACGAAAAAGATGGACTTTCACATAAAATTTCCAAAATTTTGGACCAAGCCGTAATTTTAGTAAAATAATCAAATATGTATGTAAATTTTTCAAAAAATAATCATCCTTATATTAAATGAGATGATTTGATCGCATTAATGAATTTGTAAGGTGATTTGACCATTTGATTGATATGTTTCTTTTAGATATAAAATTATAAGAGAAATAGATCCATAAATTCTAAAAAAGGGAAGGGAAAACATAAATAAAAGAGCACAAATAGCCTCCTAATTGCCTTAAGCTAAAAGATTCTACTGCCGCCATGTAACATGGACGGTGCTTTGGCCGTTTGTTTTTTTTGTGTATCGAGTATCGACACATCATGGGGGTGACACTTGTGTCTCATATCAACGAGACCCAGGCACCATTTCTCCTTAAAATCTTAGGAAAATTGATTCATCCGGGCTGGACCGCATGACTTCATATGCGGTCCATGAAGGGTAAAGCATCCATCTTAAAGATGGATGCAAGTAGGTATTCCATCTAAAGAAATTAACGGTCCAAATATTTTTTTATTAGATTTATTATTTCTAGTTTTTAAATTTTATTTGTTTTTTTATATTCATGATATCCATGTTAGAGATTACATATATTTAAAAATTAAGTCTAAAATTCCATCTCAAAAATGGATTTATTAATAGAGTTATTGCCTAAAATCGAGTTATTGCCTAAAATCTCATTGTTCTTTTTACTTAAATGATATACAGAAGTCTTATTTTGAAATTCTTGTTTCTTAACACTTGTATACACGTATCCTTATTTATATAAAATGTAGGGGTTTAACAAAAAGAAAAAATTATCCAATTACTCATGGGAGATGAACTATATATCATGTTGTTCATATTTTTTGATTTAATTTTGCAATAGGTATCAAAATATATGTGATCATAAGTTTGAATACTTGTAAACGGGTACAACATTGAATAATTCATCTTTTATATGTATTTGGGAAATTTATCAAAATACCCATGTGAGTTAAATTATTTAGTATTTTACCCATGTTGTTTGCTTTAAATTCAAAATACTCATCAAAATACATATGGTCATGAATTTGAACAGTTGCAAATATATAAAATATTTGTTTTAAATTCAAAATACCCATCACAATACATATAATCATGAATTGGAACAGTTGCAAATATATAAAATATTAAAAAGTGTGGTTTCTATGAGGTTGCAACTTTAAACAATCCAATTAAGGCACATCTCCAAAATTTATCATAACATGTAATTTTGGTGTAAAATTTTTTTAGGATTATTTGAAAATCTATTTTCAGATATAATTATAAAATTTTAAACTCAAAGAATGGTTAAAATCAAGTAGATCTATAAATATATGAAAAATCTTGAAAATGGGTGGTATGTTGCAAGATGCACTATTTATAAGACTCGAAATATTTTTTATATATATTCATGAGCAATGATCTAATGCAACGGTTGTATCATAGTATAATGCAACGACACTTGTAGAAAACCATGTTTGTGCTATTTGTATGACCCCAAATTTTGTATACACACTCTATTCATCTCAATAATCAATCCCCCTCCCCGAAAACAAGTTCACTTTGAACTCTAGATATGGTCAAAATGAGTCATCTTCAGAAACGAATCTAGACCATTTATTTTGTGAATTTCAAGATGTTAGCATTTATGAACTCAAAATCATTTTTTTCTTTTTTAACATTGTTCATCTAATGATAATAAAGTCATCCAAAAAAATTGGAAATGAAAAAATCCTTCTAAGGCTTAAATCTAAGCATCTCACCAAAATGAACGGTTTATGTTAATTTGGTTAAAAAAATACTTTCTGGATTGTGTTTTCAATTTTTTTTTTTTTTGTTGATTGTTCATTAGAATGAAAAGAGTGTTTATTTCAAAATTTGGATCAAACAAATGGCCATGAAATGGTTTTTTTAAGGTTGTTACATCATATTGCTATACAACGGTTGCATGAAATCATTGTTTATATTCATATATCTTGATGTCGAGATGATCAATTCGAGAGGTTTCTCAACATTAAAACAACATTTTCCAATGGATTTTTTATGTGGGTCTTTAATTCTACATTTTAAGGTTGCGACTTTATATAAACTTTTTCCAATATTAAATATTTTTAATCTCTCACGAGTATTATGATAAATTTCTAGATATTTTTAAAAGATTTTTCAATAGAAAATAACTTCAAAACTTTCTCGAATCATCCTAGACGTAGAGGGCATCGTAGCCCTTAAAAAAAAAAATAATATATATATATATATATATCCTCAATTTTCATTAAGACCTTTTCATCTTTAGTTCTTTACATTTGGTACCGCAAAACTAGCCGTTATACGGCGCCTCGTACCCACCGACACACACGCACACGCAAAAAAATAAATAAATAAAAAAGGCAGAAGTAGCCGTTGGAACCCCACCACTTTTCTCAACGGTCTCCATTTCTCACCCCTTCATAAATCTCACTCCCTCTCCCACCCTCTCTCAACTGTCTATTCTCTCCCCCAATCTTAATCTTACTGCTGCAAAATTTATCCCATAGCATTATTTCCTTGCCTCCTCACACAACCTGCTACCCTTTCTCTCTCTAAAACATCTTTCTCTCTCTCTCCCCCAAAACTGCAACCAACCCAGGTTGCAGACTCCCCTGTAAACAACTCTCTAAAAGACCTCTCAATCGATCCACAACTCGACCCCAATTTTCAGAACCTCAGAATCACAACCCCACCAGAAAAGAATGGGTGAAACCCAATCGTCCCGATCCGTTCGTATCCAGCAACTATTCCTCTTGAGCAGTTACGTCCTCTTGGGCGCGGCCTCAAGTTGCATCTTCCTTACTCTCTCTCTCCGCCTCTTCCCCTCCCTCCCCGGATTTCTACTGATCCTCCTGCACGCCGCCACAGCGGGGGCGGCTGTCACCGGGTGTGCAGCGGCCGCGACGTCGAAATGGCACACATTCCACATGGTGGCCACCGTTATGACGGCCATATTTGAAGGTGCAGTTTCGGTACTGATTTTTACAAGGAGCAGTGAGTTTTTGAGGGGGTTAAAATCTTACGTGAGAGAAGAGGACGGAGTGATCATTTTGAGAATGGCAGGGACTTTGTCCATTCTGATGTTTTGTATGGAGTGGGTGGTTTTAGGGTTAGGGTTTGTGGTGAGATACTATGCAGTTGTGGGGGAGGAGAGGGTGAGGACAGGGAAAGTGCAAGAGGAGCCCTTGAATGATTGGCCATGGCCCTTCCAAGTCTAGAGAGACACTGTAGAAAAATAATGGTTTCTAGAGAGAGAAGGGGTCTTGGCCTTTCCAAGTCTAGAGAGAGAAGGAATGGTTTTTTTAAGAGAGAGATGATGAGAGTGAAAGGACTTTTGTTTGCTATTCAAAAGAGGGGTGCATCTGGAGAGAGAGACAGCGAGAGAGAGAGATTTTTTTCTGTACGTGTGTAAAGACCATTGATCAAATGTGGTCTGAAATCCTGTTTAATTCGTTTATTCAATTTCTTTTTGCAATTTGGAACTCCGGTTCGGATTATATATGTCTTTGGATTATATAATATATTTGATTACTGCCTCTTTTGTGTAAAACAGTTGTTTGTCTATTATGCTGATTCTTTCTTATTTCTTCAAGGAAAAAGTTTATATAAGGATGTAACCTTATAATGTAGAACTAAACTAAGGATCCACCTCAAAAATCGATCGGAAAATGTAGTTTTAATGTTGAAAAGTCTTTTGATTGATCATCTCGACATCGAGATGTATGTCTATGAAAAATAAAAAGATTTTAAATCTAAAAAAACAGCGCATTTTACAACATATTATCTACACCATCCATTTTTAATATTTTCATATGTTTATAGATCTACTTGATTTTTAATTTTTTTTTAAATTTAAAATTTTATAATTAGATATAAAATTTTTTTTTGAGATAATCCTAAAAACATTTTACATCCTCTACAGCTACATATGCATCCGTATGCCAACTTCACTTTATCTTCAATGGTGCCTGATTTTTGGGCTTCTTCATATATATATGAAAGAGAGAGAGATTAAGGGCTTCTACAAATATATGAGAGAGATGGATTCATTGTTTACATGGAAATATACCGAGAGAGAGAGAGACCCATTTGGCTCTTTGTGGCAAAATCCAATACACCAACGATGGTGGATGATAATTCTTAGTCGGGCGCGTAGTTTACTTCTATTTTTTATGGGCCTACTTTGAACATTTTTTTTCAATTTGAAGTTTTGGATCACGTAAAAGTTAATTTTGAAATACTATTTTTTTAAATTGTTTTAGAGGGTGCAAAATTAATTCTTGTTTTGTTGAATTGAAGCCTATGTGTTAAAAATGTTATATCCTCAAAATTTGGGGTCCTAAAATTAATCCTAGGCGGAGAGGGTGTTATCCGAGTGAGTAGTACATATACAAGAGTAATGATCCTATGAGACCCCCTTCCACACCTATGTGTATAAGAATCTAAAGGATCACCATTAAATTTGACACATATCTCGAGAAAAGTTATCATATGGGTATGTGATTTGACTTTTTTAGAGATCTGTGTCAAATTTAATGATGATCATTTGGAGTCCTACACATATAGGTGTGGGAAGGTCTCATAAGATCATTACTCAATAAACAAGACAATATACTCTTAAGGAAGTAGAATATCTTTTGACAAAATATATATATATATATATGAGAAAATATGGGATTAGCCCGCTCGCCAATATTGAGTAGTAGAGAGGGCATGTTGTTTTCGTAGAGAGAGAAGAGAAAGCATGTTGTTTCAGGAAGAGAGAACGTGTATGCCAGTACTCATGTACTGCACTGTCAGCGCCCCATTAAAAAAGCGATATTTTTTACAAAAAATGCTGACATTTCTTACCATCCTACTAACCGTCTATTTATGGACTTTTCATCATG